GGACTGAAACTTCTAAAGCAGTGAGCCAAACTACATCTTTTCCGTGTGCAGTGTCAGGTGACTGCTGCTGTCGTGATGGGAAACTGACTAACTCAATCCCCCATCCCTGAGACAGTACCACTGGGGCCCAGGCTCAGAAACCACAGCTGCATATCAGGGGCAGTGATCTACCCCTGGTGGCCCTGGTTGCCTAGTGCCACTCTGGTCACTGGCTCCCATGGTGTAGTCACACAGCATACCAGAGTCAGGGACAAGAGGTACTGGTAATGTTCAGCACTTGGGGACGGGGAAAGGATGGGAGAGGAGGGGCCTGTTCCGGAGCACGTGCCAATTCCTGTGGTACAAACACTTCCATCACACCCAAGCACTGAATCTGAACACTACTGCAGGTAGGACAGGTGTGACCTGAAGAACACAGGTAGTACAAAATGATTAGGAAGTGATGAGTTTTTACTATGTTTCACCTTTGTTTTTAAAGTAATTTATGAATGCTTACATAATGTTGGTTTTGGTAATGGCTGTGTTTAACAACTATTTAGCAAAAGCCCTAAAAATCTGAACAACTGGTTCTTCTAAGCCTCAGTTCTAACACACATCTAGCTGGGAAGGAAGAAAATAACGGCTAACATGTGAATCCAAGTTCACAGCACAGGAAGCCAGACACTCTGTGGAATCCAGAGACGTCGGGGCAGAATGGAATGGGGAAGAAATGACCATAGAGCGGATGGGGTCAAAGCCATTTTCTTATGGCTATTTTGACCCTGTTTCTAAGTTTGGAGCACGGGAAGCAATTGAGACCCAAACTGTGGTAAGCAATGAGATCTTCTTCCTCTACAAATGTAGCTGTGTAAAACCACTATTGTACTATACAGTTCTCACAGGGAGAGTGCTCCCTGCTGCTGGAGGGACAAAGCTGATACCTGTCTCCCCTTTCCCCAGAAATGCCCTGGCGGTGTCCTGAAGAATCACCCTTCTGTTCACTGTTCAGTTCCTTTCTTTTTCCTCTGTCACATCACAGGCGTGTCCCAGTAGCTTCCCTCCTCAAACACCCACAGTGATTCTGCCTGAGCCTTGGAGCAGCCGTGCACAAAGATGCCCAGAATGGACTAGCAGCTCTGAAGGCTGAGAAGGTTCTGTCCACAGTCATATCCCAGAGCACAGTGTGGAACAAAGTGGCCCAGTCCAAAAACAGTCAGGGTTATGAAAGGGATCTGTGTAATGACACAGCGTGAGTGCAATTAATTGTTGTCAAAGCATTTTCTGGCTGCATTCATCTCTCACGCAGGAGAACAGAACTGTCATAACGATGACAACTGTATTCAACATTGGTGCAATCACCAAACCTAAAAATAGGAAGCAGGGGGACTGTTACCCCTGTCACATGTCTGGGACAGTCGCCCCCAGGATGAAGGGAGGGAAGGAAGGCAGCTGCTGTGAGAAGCATCTCACCCATTTTATTTACATAACCCTCCAGTGCAGAGAAGGGAGCAGATGGGGCACAGAAGAGCAAGACAGGCTCTTGATGATAAACTCTCTGAACATGATTTACTTAACTATCATAATTCCACCCAAAGGAGGCAAATCCTTTGGGTCATAAAGTCAGACACAGGAGGCCAGCAGTGCCTCATTCCAGGACATCCCTCTCCTGTCCATCTTCATCCTCCATTCTCTTCTTAATCACTTCCTGTTGTCTCCCTGGATGCTATTGCCCTGTTGGGAATGTAAAACTGGCCAAGGCCCTAGAGGCTCAGGTTGGAGTCTGGGCCCCTTAACTAATCAGCCATTGTGACCTTGGTTCATGTCCTCAATGTCAGTGAGCTTGATGCTTTCAGCTATGAACTGAAGACAGTCGTGATCCTGTTACATGACACTGTTGCAGGGATTAAGTGAGACCAAGTACACCAAATGCTTGGCAGACCAGGCACATGAGTGTGGCTACAGTGGTCGCCATCACTGCCTAGAGAATGTGACATGGAAATGAGGGGTCATGCCTGAGCCTGGCTTGTGCCCAGGATGCTACAGAAGGAACTAAGGCCTTGAGAGCAGCTGGCCTTTGTGGCATCCCTGCAGGGTAAGAACCTACTTTGGCCAGCATACAGGGAAGGCTTGCCCTGTGGACCTACCAGGCTCTGTGCCAAGTCTCTAGCAGACAGGAAATCAGCTCACCTTTATCACAAGCCAACATGCTGGGCGTTGTCCTCCATCTCAGGAAAGTGAAAAGTGAGCTCCTGTCACCACTGGCCTTGCAGGACCACCCAAGTCTGTGGCTCTGTCTTTTCAGGGATGGGACCACAGTGCTACACCACCTCAGGTGCTGCCTGTGTCCCCAGCTCCATATGGTGAGCTCTCCCTTGCTCAAGGAGCACAATTCGTGTTGGATTAATGAAGATCTGGAAGACCTGGGGCTTCCCTGCTGTTCTCTCTCTTCTTCCTTCTGGTCATTTCCGAGGGCCACAGAGTGGGAGACAAAGATGGCCAGGCAGGCAAAAGCACGTGAGAGGAGGCTGGCAGGGGTTTATTCATGCACCTGATCAGCTATACACCTCTGCACATGCCTCTCCTCAGATCCCTCATCCACAAAACAGATCTGATCCACCTCATGGTGCGTGACGAGGACCAGGAGAAAGCTCGCTGTGTGTACAGCGTGCCTGCACCCCCAGCTCTAACTACTGCTGTGGTGTGGCCACATATTCCTAAGTCCAGCTCTTGTTCTGGGCAGGTTTAGCTTGGGAGTCCTTGCTTTCTGTGAGGGCCTCAGCAGAGAAGCGGGGTGACATGTGCGGGATTGTTTACAGGCGTGGGTGAGAACGTGGAGCACTCACCATGGTGCCTGTCCCACAACACACACTCTATCTTCTGTATCAGGATGCACTTCTCCCCAGGATCAAAAACTCACTGAAATTCCCAAAAGATCACTGGAGTTGTTTCCTAGTCACAACTTGGGGAAGAAAATATCTGGATGTTTCTGTTTCATAAACAGAAGAGTCAAGAGGCACCTGCAGCTTTTAGAATACTGCTAAGAGCCTCACCTCCCACAGAAGAAAGCCAGGCCCCTAAGTTCTCCCTCTAAACTAGCTTTATTTTTAAAATCTTTTCTCTCAAAAAGTCAACACTACCAACCAAACTTTTATAGGACCCTGAGCTGCTGTGCCAGCTTTGGGGGTGTTGAAAAGGACATGAGCTTTTTGAAGCCAGACTTCCAGCTTCATTAGCAGGTCTGCAACTGCTGTGTGACTGTAGGCGAGCCACTTACCCTCTATGAGATTCAGCCAGCTTACAAAACGGGGAAAAGAATCCTGACTTCACAGGATTACAAGGCGAGTCCAGTGAGATATGAACATAATCTGCCAAATGTGAAGTGCTGTGTAGATGTGAACTGTCGTTTACTACGAATTTAATGCTCAATCACAACAAAGAGTCTTTGGGTGCTGGTATCTCTTTTATCAGTTTGAATTTCTCAATTCCATTTTAACAGTCTTTGTGAACTTGGGTCTCCCACTTCAGATCCTTTTGGAGAGAGGCAAAGTGTGAAACAAGCAAACAGCTCATAGTGAGAAGTAGCCCAGACCCTCTACCCTCTCCATTTCTGCTGGTTTACAGGAGGCTGGGGTTAGATTCGCTGTCTGCAGGCTGGAATTCAGGTAACGAGTCTCCCCAGTGAGGTAGCCAAGCCAAGGCCCAGCAGCACTGCAGGTAGTTCTGCCCAACAAGGTACCCAGCTGGAAAAAGGGGCCTGGGGCGAGGGGAAGCTGGTCCCAAACCAATGCCTGGAGTTCTCCAGTTTTATACCCCCAGCCCCCCAAGCAAAAGTCTGCATTTTGTTTTCTGTAGAATTTTTAGAAGCACAATGCCTTTTGGAAATTTTGCTTTTCCTACCTACCAGGGTGGTACTGTATGGAGAGGACGCCACCTGTGATGGGGGTGAATGAGAGCCAGAGAGGCAAGAGGCTCAGTCGTCACTGCACTTTGAACACAGCACACAGCGTGTTACACAAACGTCATTCATTGACCAGAGCCCCAGGCTGCAGACACGAGCCTGCACATCTATACACAGATATGTGTCACATAGCAGAAAAGCAAGGATGTCTGGGGACAAGGTCAGAAGCACTGTGCCCAGCTTAAACATCACAAAATCTCCGCCTTTCATTATTTACAAACTCCTGCAGAGCCCCCACCCAAAAAAGGAGAGAAAGTTGAGTGGAAAATTCTAAATCAGCTGATGTTCTCACCCTGCACCAGACAGTACAAATGACCCTACACCATAATCTGAACCTAAAATTATGCTGTCTCATTTCCTGACTGTGAGGCCCACGGCACAGACCAGCCACTCACAGGACTTTCTGGCTTGGAGCTGCTTTGGGATTTTTTTTTTTTTTTTTTACAGAAAGGTGGCTTTCACTACTGACCAGCTGGTTTGCATTAAATGACTCCGAGGTGCAGCCAAAAAATACACCTTGCAATGGTGAAGAACTCACACCTTGAACATGTCACAAATGTAGAAATCCATTTTTCCATATTCCTCACTGCCACATCCTGCCCCACACCCTGCTCAGGAAGTCACTGCCCTGGGCACAGCATGAAAGCAGACATATGCAGCTTGGGCTGGCCACAGGGAAGGCAGGCCTTCACCCTTCCACCCTGCCACAGAGGCACAGGGAGCCACAGTGGAGAAGAGATACTGCAAGGGTCCCAGGCAGCCTGCAAGCAGCAGCCTTGAGGCTTTCAACCATCCCGCACACATGGCCTTGACACTGGGCCACTCAGTCCTTAGCCTGCACCTTCCAGTCTTCAGGCTTCATTCTCCCCATCCAAGAACTCAGTGTGGACTCGCAAGGCGGTTCCATGAAGTGGATTCAGGAAGCGACAACTGTATCTCAGAGAAGCTTAGTGTTTGAGCACCACTTTTCCCTGCATCCCGGATGCTCAGAGGCTCTACAGCCCCTGTGGACGTGAATGGCACAGACTGATACACAGGACAATAGACACGCATGACTCTCAGCTCCGGCTGCTGTGTGATTCCACCTCCCTCTGCTCACTCTGGGGGTCTCATCTTCCTCTTGTCTTCCTCTTCAGGCCCTTCCTCCAGCCCCAGGAGCAGAGGCCTGGGCCTCGGCCTCTCCTGAGTCTGATGATGTCTGAGTTAGGAGCTCACTAGGGTGTAGATCATGCTGCAAACAGAAAGGAAAAGCAAGTGTTAGTGGAAATCAGCAAAGGACTCCAGACTCTCAGCAGAGACTTCCGAAGGCTTCGCCCCCATTCCTGCCACTAGGCCATCTGGTTCACTCCCTACTGTGTCCCTACTACCTCCCACAACACCAAAGTGAACCTTTGTTAGGACAACATGGCATGCTGTGTCCCCTAGATAAAAGATTATTGCTCTAAGTGCCTACCATTATTCTCATCAGGAGAACATTCTTGTTCTTATCCTGATTCTGTGACTGATTGCAGGGCAGGTCCCGGGGTGGGAGCACATTTTTTATGCCACCAGCTGCTGCCTGTGGCAGCATCCGGGGGTTCTAGATAACACTGTGTACTGTGTTAGTGCTGGGGATTGGGGTACAGCATCACCACAGTCACAGCGTGGATGTGCGAATGCAGCCCTCTGGGCAGAGGTACTAAGTGGGCTTTCTCTGGGAAGCCCCTGGCCCTCCAATCCTAACAAACTCCAGGCATTCAGAGCACGGGCCTAAGGTAGTGCTCCAGCACTGTGAGGAGGGGATGCATGTCTCTGTGTCTGAGAGGGACTCCAGGAGGGGCTCCAGAAGGGGACATGCATCCCTGTGTTCTGAGAGCTCACGAAGTAGGCCACCTAAAAATCCTCCAGGGCGTGGGTTACCCAAGTTCATGAGAGCCCAGCCTCTGGTGAATCCAAACCTGAGAATCTGCATTGTTAAGCAGTGCACCCTCCCTACTGATCCTGATCCTCACTGATAACACCTTGTCTACAGGTTCCTAAGACAGCCATCTGGGAAGACTTCAGCCTCTGGAATCAGACTTGGGATGGACTTCCAGCCATGACACTGTTAGCCGTGACCTTGGGAAAAGTTTCTACCTTCTCAGATCCAGTTTCCCCATTTTAATATGTGGGTAAAGATATTATCTCATAAATTCAGCAATACACCCAAAGCTCTTAGCTCAGAGTCTGGCTCATTCTTGAATGCTGGGGATCGTGACGACTTCCCAGCCTGCTACCACCAATGTGACACAAGATGGCTGTGGAGTCTGACCCCACTGCCCCTCCTCTGCAGTGACTATTGTCACTATGGTCCTCTGGAAGCACCACGGGGGTGTTGAGGGACCTCCATAACACAGGTAGAAGTGGTATAATAAGGTGATGGGGAGCGGCTCCAGGGAAAACACAAAGAAAAGCAGGAAGGGCAGGAGATGTTTCCAGAAAAATCACTCTCGGGGGGTCAGACCATGAGACTGCAGATTACAGCTCTCTACTTAACTAGGACATCCAAGTGAAGCGGTGAAGAGGAGAGAGGCCTGAAATGAAGTTGCAACATCAGCAGGACTTACTCAATCAGAATGAGGTTATATAATACTGGGACAACTGTAAGTATAAGCATTTAATGACCAATGTGCCACTCTGTGAAGCATGACTGCCACTGGGAGTGGGAGGTGGAGGGCGGGGTGGGGGATACTGTTGTGGTACCCAAGAATCTTTACAAATAGGCTGGGAGCAAGGTGTGATGAGGCTAGGTCCTGGGGCCTCAGTAAGTGCTAGGCAGAACTGAGGAGTTCTGAGGGGCAAGAAGTCCTGTTGGAAAGATGGCGACTCTCCAACTACCTCCTAGGAGCTGTTGATAGAATGTGTGTAACTATGGACCTAAGGATGTGCACAGAGCTTCCTGCCCCTTACTTCTTCCTGTAGGAGCTCTTGCTCCCAAGCCAGAATCCAACCGCTGCGATCAGACCCCATTAGCCACGCTTTCCCCATAGGCCATCTCCCCAAGACCACCTCCCCAAGGCTAGCCTGAAATTCCCCACCATTTGTTTCAGAAGCCAAAACCAACAGTTGGGGCAGAAACTCACCAGTAAAGGTAGTAGAAGAAGGAGAGAAGATAGAAGGCCAGTTTGCACCAGGCCTCTTTCTGACAATAGCTCAAGGTGTCTGCATTCATGACCACTGGTGGGTCGTAGGCTAGTTCTGAACTGTCTGCTGGACAGTGGAAATATCTGCAGGAGAGGACAAGGTAACATTGGCTCTCAGGCTCTGGGACTCCCGATGTCACCCTGACCAAGCATTCCTGGTGCAGGACTTCCCTCCAGCAGCCATGCCCAGCAGTCATCTACCTTCTGACCAAGCCACAGTCTATATTGCTAAGTGTCCCAGCAGGTTCTCCAACACCCAGCTCCACCCACATCACAGTGTTTTTGCCCACATATACAGATGCTGACAGAAGGAAAAATGTGTCACCCAGTGTCCCTCAGGAGGTACTCAGAAGAGCTTCCTCTGAGCACAGGTAGAAGTGTGGCAGTGGTGAAGACACAGGACCTCTGCCTCATGCTCTGAGGTGACCTCATTATGGCTTTGCTCCCAGGCGACCTCACTCTACCTTACAATTTAATTCTTTGGATTACGTGTGGTCCTCTTCCCAGATCCTCATGTAAAGTCCCAACTCCTCTGGGAGAAACCTCATATTCTGCTGAGTACAGAGTTGTTTTCAGGTACTTATTTCCTTGCTAGAAGGACCCGGGACCACAAAGAGAACACTGACCATTTTGGGGGATGCAAAAGAGCAGTGGATGGAGAGGAAAGTATACCAAACTGTCCACTTCAAAATCCACACCCACATCGCTCCCCAGCAACAGACCACCACCAGGGGGGGAGAGCAGCGCTCCCTCCCTGAGACCTGGGGCCCTTGTGAAGTGGTTGTCACAATTAGATCTGATCTTCAGCAATTAGCAGGACTCTCCCCTGGGACCTCTGCCTCCTGAAGGGCTCAAGAACATAGTTCAGCTGAGGTTGTCCAGTGGAATGCTCCTAAGAAAGGAATTCTGAGAGGCAGGGGCTCAGATTCATTACTTCTGCTAGGTTCTGGGACCCTGCAGTGGTCCACCCTGAGGAGGCTCCAGGAGAGCCAGGTCTGATCAGATGGATCTCCTGGCTTTGAAGACCATCCCTAAAGGGTATCAACCTGCAGAGCTGGAGGCTCAGTTCCCTCCTTCCCCTTCTTGTCACTGACACTCTGCAGAGGGTACATCAGAACCCAGATTCAATGACAGCTGCCAGCTCATAGCCTTCCTACCCTCACCTCTCCTCTTCCCAGAAGCAAATGTCAAAACCTATTTCTTTCACTATGGCTTAGCTCCCAAGTGACCTCATTATGTGGGTGACCAAGTGCCTTGGTGGAAAGAACCAGGACTCCACTGCTCACAAGTCTGTCCTTCCTTGGATCAGTCTTCAACCTGTCTGAAAAATGGGAAACTGCTCACCTGAAAGTGCCATTGTGATGACAATGGCAGGTAATATATGCAAATAACCTGCAAAAACAGGTGCTAAGAAACAGTGGAAGTTCTACTTCTATCAAGGCAATCTAAGAGTGACAGTAGAAGGGGCCTTATTTGTGTGAGAAGCACACTGGACTGGACCTATTGGAAAGGAGGAGGTAAAGAAAAGGGAGAAAGTGGTGTTCCAGGAATGTCCTCATCCTGCTTTTCTTGCATGTTCTGAGTACTTACTAATTGTGAGGAACTGGGCTAGATCCTGTTGGGAATCCAAAAACAAAATAAGGCAAAGAAATCGCAGCTGCTCCTTCCTCCACAGGCACACACCCAAGTGTAAGGACACTGGCTAGCTTTCCATTTTCTCCTTCAGACAAGCTCTAGTCCTAAAACACTGTATCGATAGAAACTTCACAAATTGACCACACATTTCTTTTTTTTTGTGGTGCTGGGTACGGGACCCAGGGCCTCTTGTGTGCTGAGCACATGCTCTACCACCAAGCTGCATCCCTAGCCCTCAGCCATGTTTTTGATGCCCTGCTTTGACAGCTCAAACTTGAAGGACCTCAGGACAAATTCCTTTCATGAGAAAAGCCTGCTCCTGTACCACACTGAGGTGGGAGGAGACAGAATGAGCTTCTCACAAAAGAGAAGTAGAGACACCGTCCTGCCACACACAGGCTGAGTGACACCAGCAGCTGACTTACCCTCAGTGGGCAGTGACCTGTGCGTACGGTAGGGAGAATGAAACCCACTGCAGTTGTGTTGTGGACCCTGGATGAAGAAAACATGGAGACCCCGAGAAAGAATTCACATTTCTACACCATGAGTCTTCTATTTACTTGGCTTCTCTCACTGTTTGAATCCTAGCAGATTGCTTTTACTTAATGCTATAGATTGGACACCCCCAAAGCCCATGTGGTAAAGGCATGGTTCCCAGTCCGTGGTGCTATTAGAAGGTGATAGAACCTTTAGGAGGTAGGGCCTAGTGGGAGGTCTTAAGTCATTGAGGTGTGTCCCTGTGTGATGTCTCTCTCTCTCTCTCTCTCTCTCTCTCTCTCTCCCCCTCCCACTTCCTGGCTGCCATGAGGACAGCAGCTTCCCCAACTACACACCATGATGTTCTGCCTCGTCACTGGCCAAAAGCAACAGAGCCGACTAACCATGGACTGAAATCTCCAAAACTGAGTCAAAATAAATCTATTTTTCTATAATAACAGAAAACTGACCAGTACACTTAATATAGAATTTCTCTATGTAATCAATTAATTTTTCTTCTTCCTTAAACCTGTGGTTTCTTTTGTCCTCTATGCTTGGCCAATGGCACCATCACCCTCCCAGCTTCAAGGTTGCCTCTCCCTCACCTCCTGCACCTAATCATAAGTAAGGCCTCCATGGGTTCTCTTGTTCTCTCACCATCCCAACTGCTACTACCCAGGAATCTCTTCACCTGACACTTCACCACAATGCCTCACTAGATTTTGTCCTCAATATTCCACCTTCCACAGCACCTTCACACTCCTGTGGGATCACTGCCTCAAATCAGATCAGGTGGTACCCATTTCTCTCCTTCAGAGCTTCTGGTGCCCCACTCCCCGCCATGCAGAGTAAATCAATCTTAATTCTCCATCAACTCCTCTCTGACCTCCATGCAAGGCTCCCAGATGTCTTGTCAGTCATGTCTCTTCTTAATCCATCCAAAAACCCTATATCCAACCACACTAAACAAATGATGTACCCCGAAACATGCCAACTGCTTGCTCACTTCTGTGCCTTTGCACATTCCATTCCCTCGACCTCAGCATGCTTTTCCAGACCCTGAAGACCAGTGTTACTCTTTAGGCTAGGGTAGGGGCTTCTTTCTCTACATTCCTGCAGTCCTTCCCCTTGTCAGCTAAGGACTTCATCTCAGAATCTCTCACAGTATGTGTTCCATATGTTTGCTAAATGACAGTGAGATCTCTATACGTGACTGTGACAAGGCTCTATTTTATGCTAAAGTGACAGTGATGAAATGGTTTGGGAGTCCAGAGCTCTGGGAGCAAGGCCTGCATCCTGCACAATTACATTTTCTACTACCATGGTGCGCCCCACCCCTGCTGCCTATATCCATACGGTAACTATATTTTATAAGAGGAGACTAAGGGAGGAAGGAGAGGGAAAGAGACAACAGGGAGTGAATAATACGGAAATGCATCACCTCTGTGTAAGAAGAAGGCTCATCAAAACTGAAAGCTGATGAACAATATGGGGTGGGGGAAAAGGGTAAGGAAGAGTAACAGAGGGGGTTGGACTGATCAAAGGACAATACACTCACAGGCAAAACCCCACTGAACAATGAACCACAGGAATATAAAACAGGTCCTGTTGGGGTAGGGTACTAGCGGGAGGGGGAGAGTGAATAGAGAGGATGAAGGAGGATGAGTATGGTTGATGCACTTTATATACATGTATGAAAACAGAACAATGAGACCTGCTAAAATCATTTTAAGTAGGGGGGAGGGGAACGCAGGAGAATGATGGCAGGGATGAACCTAACCAGGGTACACTGTCAGTACATACAGAAATATCACAATGAAACCCCTGTACAACTATGTTTTTTAAAAAAGCTCAAGTCACATGACCTGATGCATGGCTTGACGCATAGCAGGGAATAGAATATGTGAAATCAGACTGTCCCAGAAAAGCCAATCCATCTGGTAGGTACTCTTTTATTAAGATACAATTTACATAACATAAAATTCACCCTGTTAAAGTGTACAACTTATACTATTTCTAGAGATGTGTAACCACCAGGACTATCTAATTTCAGAACATTTTCATCACCCTAAAAAGAAAATCCATTAGCAGCTACCCCCCATTCCCACTTCCTCTTGGCCCTTCTGAACATTTTAAAATAAGTCGAATCACAGAATATCTATCTGTGTCTGGCTTCATTTCAACTTATATTTTCTTTGAAGTTCTTCCATGCAGCAAGTTTCAGTACTTCATGTCTTTTCATTAGCACATAATATTCCATTGTATGTATGTACCATTTTATTTATACATTCATCTGCTGATGAGCAATTGCGAGTAACACTGCAGCTGCTCTCAGTAGTGAGGTGTGATTAACGGCGCCAACGAGAAGGGCCTTCCCTTATTGAACTCACTGCCTAAGCACAGCTTAGGAAGGTGGGAGGAATCCTGGGGAGAGGGATGAAGAACAGCCCTAAGTGGCCTATTTGAGGGATGTTGTCACTGGAGCGGCTACTTGGGCAGAGCAGAGGGAGGATGGACCAGTCCAGGGCAGACTTACCGCCAGAAGTGATAGAAAAGCAGAGGAACGTTCAGCCCCAGGGTGAGCCACTCCTGAGCACATAGGAACATGATGCAGAAGAGGCTGTGGATGGAGTACTCGGGCAGCACCAGCTAAGAAGGGGCAGAGATAGGGTTAGATGGAGAACAGAACTCCTGTGGCCCCTGCCCACACACCAGGTGTGGCACAAAGGCCTCCCTGTGGCAGCCACTGTCCCAAGACTGGTCACTTCTGGAAGACCATGCTACATACAGTCCCAAATGGATGCAGACCCTCTGCACCTGCTGTTGTGGTCGATGACCCCTGGGAAGGCTGAAGGAGGTGACCCAGTGCTCGTGCCATCTGACCTGAGGCAGGCCACTAGGAGAAACTCCAGCAGGGTCCCTGTGACCCTCTACCTGTCCTGCTCTTGTGTCTGTAGCCCCTGCATGTCCTGCTCTAGTGCATATGTGTGTTTACTTCAAATGCAGGCAGACTGGGGAAAAAACTGAGAAAAGGCATTTGGCCTCACAGTGGGTGGGTCAAGAAAACCCAAGAGAAAGACCAAGTAACAACAATAAGGAGGAACAGCATAGCCTCTGGGAGAAGGAAAGAAATCATCCCAGGGCAGAGGGAGCGGAGACCAGCTGGAAGGTGGAGGAGCCCCGCCACCCCCACCACAATCCTGCCAGGTATAAATAGGGAAAAGAACTTAAAATGACAGTTACCCCTTCCAGATATTTAGTAGTTCTACCAGAAATGACAGCTATAAGCTAAAAGGTGATTGTGAGGGAGAAATATGGTTCCTAGGCCAGTAATAAAGAAGGCTCCTAGGAAACTTCTCACAGCCTGTCCATGTGGGGTCACCCTCCCTGCACACACGATGGGCTCCAGAATTTCCCAGTCTGTGCCTGGACTCAGCCAAGGCCTCTGCTCATCTCCACTTTTAAAGTGCTTTGTGTAAGCCTGGCAGTTACACAGTGGAGACTTGACCAACATTTGACCAAATGAACTGTACTGACCACAGTGTCTGTCTGCAGCATGGCTGGCAGCAGTGGAGATGAGGCATGGGTGTTAACAGACTGCCTCAAACTGTCCCACCTGCCTTCAGGGCCTGAATTTTCCCTGTCACTTTAGGTAGATGAGCTAGCTGTCCAGATGGCAGATGCAGAGGAGAAACATATACTTGTTTTAAAAATAAACACATGTGCAGGCATGTGGGTAAGAACTGCCTTTTGTAACTAAGGGGCATCTTGTTTGTTCTCAAAGTCCAATGGACAAGGAGCAGCATTAACCACACCATTGACTTCTCAACAGTGACCCTGGAACCAGAGCATAGGAGCCATCACGCCAGAGGTGTTGGCCTCTGTGGGGAGCTGGGCACAGCCGGCCCCTGTGAATCCCAACCACCTGGTGGGAAGGGTACATCCCATGACATTCTCCTTATAAGACCCAAAGCTGTGCTTACCAGCTCCACCTGCACCCAGGCAGGGCACCGCTCAGCTGTCTCCCATTCAAAGAGAAAGCCCACTGTCTGAGCTGGGTGTGCCAGCCCTAGGAGGCAGCAGCTGTGAGTTCTGCTGTGCACATCTCTACAGTTTTAAGTCATCACTTCCAGCCACTTATGCTGAGTAATTAACACATTTACAGACAGCCCTGGGGCCTGAATCATCCATTATAGCTCCATCCCCATCTCCAATGCCAATCTTTGATGGTTTGGATTTCAGATCCTTCTATTAATCACATTGCTTTTCTCTTTGGGACTTGATTTATAGGAGAAGCCTTAACCTTTGAGCAGGGAGGATTCATCACCATCCCTGTGCAAACAAAAACTATTTAATGGAGGCCAGCTGGCCCTGGAGGTCTCCTACTTTCTGAGTGTGAGAAAAGACTTTAAAAATCCTCCTGCTGACCTGTGTGGCTTCTCCCAGTTGCCTCCAAATGTCCAGAACATGAACAGCATCTTCACAAGGGGACAGGTCCTCATTAATCCAGGGAGCCTTCTAGGAGCAGCCGTGCCCTTGTTATACACACACGTGCCCCTCCCCCCAGCATCCCTGTCATGTGAGGCGGACAGAGTAGGGATCTTGCTCCTTCTGGACCAGATGGAAGTCCACTAGGCCATCTGCATGAGGCCTGTACCGTGGCTTTGCTGCTTCCCTTTGCTCACTTTAGCCATGATCTTTGGACCATAATGTGCCATTTCCCAGCTCCCAGTGGTTGAGTGGCCAGGGGCTGTGAAATATGTATGGGGTGGGGGTGGGGCAATTGGGAGCCAATGCAAAATGTGATACTGAAAACATAGTACGGATCCAGTGAGGAGAGAGACCCCCAGGCAACCAGGATGAGTGTGAGAAAGAAACTCATTGTTCTGAGCTACTAAGAGTTGAGTGTTGTTTTTTTTTCAGTATATCACTATTGGAACTATCTTGTCTGATACAGCAGCCTGCCCCAGAATGAGTAATCAACGGGAAAGACAGAGTTAGTTGTCTTCCCCCTTGGGCATCCATTTCCCTCTCGTTAGCAAGCCATTGAGGCTGGTATGACCTGCCCCTTGTCCCCAGACCTATCAGGCAGGACTGAATGGCCACTAAAGCAGGTATATGCTTATTCATTTGTGTGGGTTGTCAGGCTGGATGCTCCCTCCTAGCTTGAGTATCTGTTACATAAAGACCACCCCCAAATCTACCAGGCAAATACAGAAAGGTGACTGACATGCTGGCTGTACCCTTGGGTCACCCCTTAGTTTGGGAGGCACTCCTGTAAGAGGAGCTGTTGAGTGGCCTGATTTCCTCCATTTAACAAATGACAAGTGGAGAAAATATTGCACATAGACGGTCTACAGAGTCCCCATGGCTTATTATGCTTGCCTTCTACAGTTATAAACGCTAACCACATGGCCTCAGTGTAGGTATGGTGGGGTGCTGAAGTCTACAGTTCATTCCAGCCAGGGGTTCAAGGCAGAAGAAACAATGTGAAGCCTGCCTATGGTGGGAACTGGTGGTCAGCATTTCAGAAGGGAAGCTGCTGCCTAGGCAGCCTCCTCACAAGTTGCCTAAAAAGGCCACTTATTTGATGGCAGTAAAGCCAGCCTGACACCAGGGAAGGACCTGGTGAATGCCAATTCTACTCTATGCTGATTTCCTACCCAGATTCCACCAGTCACTTTCACTTGCTGGCAAACGGGTCCACCTAGTTATTCCTTATCCACTTGGCTTGAACACTCATGTTCCTCCTGAACTGCAAACTCCATCTCCTGATCCACAGCTGTCTTCACGATCTTCCTCATCAGTCTCCATGGAGTCTGTTTCTAGAGTTTGTCCTTCTTCCCAGGTCCCCCCCCCCGCCCCCGGCCTCCTCCAACACCTCTGCAAGAATCTCTCAGCAGGTCTTCATCTGTACACAGGCTCCCTCGGCCCAACACAGCAGCCTCCTCCCTTCCCTGTATCCACCTTGTTCAGCTCAGCTATAAGCCTTCATCGGCAACCTTGTTTTCACAGGAATTTTTTAAAATTAAATTCACTTTTTGACCAGGAACTTAAATTTATTTTGTGTTCAAATGTTTTATTTCTGTTGGTGCACCTTCTCATTCCTTCATGTCTCCATTCACTTGCAGCTAGGATACAAATGATTAGCAGCTGATGGTACCCTTTATACATTACACAGGAAAATGTAACAATGTGACAATTTGGGTCTTATCTTCACTGTGGGGGTGGGGGGCATCCAGGAGAGAAGTAGAGACTTAGGAAGAGGAGGTACAGTGTAGATGCTGCACCTGAAGGAGAGAGGTGCACTGGGGTGTGACATATGGCAACATGCAAGCAACCCCTTGTGCTGGAGGCCCATTCACACGCCCCCAGGACAGGCTTTCCGAGGGGCTGGTATAAGCATGTCTAGGACCAAAACCAGAAAGGCCACAGCTCCAGAAGGCACAGGGAAGATCTGGAGCTGAGTGTAGAAGACAGGGAAAGCCGAGGCAGAGCCTCCATCCTCTCTGAGTGGCCCCTATAGACTCAGACATCAACCTTTCCAGCCACAATCACACTGAGCTGACACAGCCACAGCCAGCAGTTTCTCAAAGCATTACCTAAACTCCTGTTAGTTACAGAAGGATGGATTGTATGACACTGAGAACAGTTAAGCACGGCTGAGCCTGTTGTCCTTGTCTGTAAAATGCCACAGCTGCTGGCCAGGGATTCAGGCAGAGCTCTCAGGTGGAGCAGCAGGACAGGAAGATACCACTACTGTGATGTGGGACATGTTGTGAACAGCTGGGCAAGGTGTCATTCTCACAGACAGACTTTGTCCTCACCCTGAAATCAGTGAACCGATACAGGGCCAATGGCTTCCTGATTCTCAATCCAGTCTTCTCTGCCCGCTCTGATTAAAGCCAGCTTCTAGTTTCCTCACATGGGAAGAGAAAGCAGGGCTGTTCCGTAGCCGTGACTGTTTCCAACAGTGACCCAGCTCCCTGTACCTGAGGGTCATCTGCCTGGGAGCCAGTGCATGTGAAGAAAGCAAGCATAATGTCTTCTATTTGACATTCCAGCCCATGCTTAACAGACCCTGAAACAGAGGCCCCTTCTGGCACGAGCAGGGTGTGGGTGAAGGGATGGGCTCCACTCCCTGCCCCACGGCCCCTGCAACTCCCTCCCCCCACAGCTGTGGCATCGGCAGTGGTTCTGACTTTATGTGCTGCAGAATCACTTGGAAGTTACACTAAAACGTGGACTACTAGCCCACAGCCCCAGAGCTTCAACAAGTAGATATGGGTAGGAGCTGAGTGCCTGTCTGTCTGTCTAACAAGTTCCTGGGTGAGCCTCAAGAAGTTGCTCCTGAACCAGCACCTCCAGCATTGCTGGGAAACTAGTCACAAACATAGAATTCAGGCCCACCCCAGACCTACAGAACCAGAGCCTGCATTTCCGTAAGCTTCAGGTGGTTTATATACACCTTGAGGTTTGAGACATGCTGCTCAGCACTGAATCTCAAAAGAGAGTTTGTCAGTCTCTGCCTCAGAATCACCTGGGATCTGGTTAAAAACGCAGACTTCTGGATCCCGTGCCACACTCCTGACAGAGACTTGAAGAAATCTGTGTTTTTCAGAAACATCCAATGTGATTTTTGTTAAGATTTAAGCTAAGATTGTAGATCCAAGGTTTAAAGACCCCATGAAGCAAAAACATCCTCTGTGAAGACTGTGGGTCCCAGGCCTTGCCTGGGTCTTCTCTCTCATGGGGACAGACCTGAGCACTCCAATCCTGTACAAATTCCAGTCTCAGGGGAGGGCACTTGAAATCAAGATCTAGAGTCTGGCTCCCAACTCCAGCACCCTGTGTGGGAGGACACTCAGGAGGCACCCTAGGGCCTGGGGCCAGTGGCCTCCAGATTTGGAGGGCTGGCTGGATATCTTCCTGGGATCCCAGCACCCTTCCAGAGCCCCTCTCCAGTCTGCCCTCTCTCTACGCTCTCAAGCTGCTTCCACCTGCTGTCTCTCTGGACAGTTTCTAGATGTGGCAACAGGCTCCTTTCACGACCAAACTACTGGATTCTGGCCTTGCCCTGCCCACTCCTCCCTGCCTGCCCTTTGTGATTGTTTCTGTGCACCATCACTTGAATTTCAAAAGCCTTTCTGTTAGCTTCCTCACACACTTGTTAAGTTACTGAACTACCTAAGAGCCCACGCAGGGAGGAGGTGAGAATGAAAGCATTCTCAAATGATACCATATTTCTAAAGGGACAAAACTCTCCTACAACTCACTGGCATTTCAGAGACATCTGAAGGTAACACTTGTAGCTGCCCACTCTTCCTTTTCCTTAAGCAGGGGTGATGGAGTAGGAACTGTGTTTAGAATGGACTGGGGATTAGGCAAAGGTTCCGGCAGCAACCAAAGGGAATGTTTCAGAATGTGGACCAGCAGTGGGTAGGGTGAGCCCCACCTGGGCCTCAATCAGCAAACGTTCACCCCAAAAACCTGCCAGCAGGAGCACAAAGCAGCCCTGCTGGGCAGAGACAGTGTGGGTGAAGACAGCCTACAAACAAAAACTTCTGGAAACTGAGGACCAGCAGAGGCTGCCCAGAAGCAGCAGGAAAGGGGAGCAGAAACCTCACCGTGGGAGAAGAGTGGGTGCCGGTCCTGAGTGAGGTTACAGGATGAGTCATCCTGTGGAGGAAGAGCATGGAGGCCAAGGGCAATTCCCAAGGGACATGGTGCTGTCCTCCCACTGAGCTGCGAGCGACAGGCACTTGTTTCTTTACATCCATGATGTGGTCGTCACTTACAAATCTTCCACTTGAGATGGAAAATCTGCAGGCCCCTTTAAACCCAGAGGCCCCAGGAGTCTCAACAGGTCCTCAGTGAACAGAGACACACCAGCCAGAGCCAGGCCACCCCTCTCTGACTGTCCCCCCAACAGTGCTTCCAGCTCAGGCCAAGGAAAGAAGCCCAACTCTGGGGGAAAGAGGCTCAAACCGCCCAGGCCTCCAGCTGAGGCTCCTAACCCCCTCCTAAGCCTCACACCTCCCACTGTCTTCCCTGGGGCTCAGGGTGAGTCTCCTAACAGGAGCCAGCTGTTCCCCAGGAGGGTGGTGGGGGCTAGAGGGGAGCTCCCTGCTCCACACAAGGCTCCAAATAGCCCAGTACCAGCTTGGGCCTTCAGCCCCATTAGCTTCCAAAGGAGAGCTATAGTCCCACTTACCAGCCATTAAGTGGTGTTAATTACCCGTTACATTCTGCAGGTTGAAAAAAATTTGCTCAAAACAAACAAAAGAGGGTGAATTGAATGAAACTGTGAGAACTGGTATTTGGGAAAGAAGAGCATGCTGATATCATCGACTATTTTTAATTAATTAATTATTGGCACCAGGGCCTGACACACACTGGGCAAGCCTTCTATCAGTGAGCAGCACCTCCAGCCCTTGTTTTTTTGAGACAGGGTCCAGTTGTGTAACCAAGGCTGACCTGGAGCTTGTGAGTGCTGGGATTTTAGACGTGTACCCCAAGCCCAGCAGAACTGATGTTGAGCGCCCACTGGTGCATGCCCGGGAAGTGGAGAGTGCTGACTGAACTGACTTCCAGACCTAAATGCAAAGAGGAGGGCTGAACAGTCTTCCCAATGGCCTACCAGGACAGGTGGTTAGATTTGCGCACACACCTCTGTCCAAGGTCTTGTATGTCCATATTGGTTGCAGTGCCCTAGGTTTACCAGGTGTCTGACTCAGCAAATTAGCATTTTGGGAGAAAGACAAAGTAATATTGTAACCTTTGCCTCCAGTGTCTTAGTGGAAACAGTGTCTGACTAAGGAGCAAGAGGCTTAGGCTCCAGCCCCGGCTATAAGGGTGTATTATTTAATCCGGACAGACTGTTTTCCACCTATAAAGTGGTAATGATTACAGCATCAATTTCACAGGAGTGTTGTGAGTATTAAGTGAAGTAACATGGGACAATATTAAAACCGTATCTAGCACACAGTGGCTCACTCCACAAACGATGCCTGCAACCTGCAGCCTCCCAGGCCCTTTCAGCTCAAGTGCTCCACTGATTTTGTAAAAACTCCCTTGAAAGTTAAACCAATGAATCTTCCAACTCTCTCTGATTTCCTTGCTTGCAAACTGTTTAAATCCTCTTCCTCCACCTCTCCCCAACCCCAGTCCAGGTCCCACTCGCTACCCAAAGCTGACCTTGAACTTGGAATCATCTCCACCTCCCCAGTGCTGGGACTACAGGTGTGTACCACAAAAACCTAGCTTTGTATTCCTGAAAAACTCCTGTGTTCACGAGAATCTGATCATTTTAGTGACAATTACCCAGTGATGGTCAGAAGATGGTTTCTCCCCTTGAGCTCACGGTTAGTCCCAGAATCTTAGGTTAACAGTAAGAAGAGGGAAAAACATAATCCAACTGTACTGCCTAGGGTGGGGCCTTTGGGAAGAGATTAGATTATCAAGACCTAATCGTGGAGCCCCACTGTTGAATGCTGGTGGCCTCATAACAAATGGAAGAGAGGCTGGACAGAGACGTACACTCGCTGTGTGGTGGGAGGCAGCTCAGGAGACCTTGCCAGAGTTTGCACCATGCTGTTTGGACCTTGGATCTCCAGAACTGTGAATCAAAGCAAACTTCTTTCTTTATAAAGTAGCCGGCCTCTAGTTTGTTTGTGATTTGTTAACTTAATGGAGAGTGGACTAATTAATACAGCCCCTCAGAAGGAAGCTCTTGGATGACTCGTGTGGGTCTCTATCTATAAAACTGTTCTGTCCACACAGGGACTAGTACCATGGTAAGTGCTCAGCAAATGTCCCATTTATTCATTCAACAAATGTGGCGAATGATTCCTACAAGGTGCCAAACACCGCAACAGACACTGGAGGTGCCAGGATGAGCTGGACGAGCACCATGAGCACTCCAGGTGTCTCAGGCTAGAGGACAGGCTGATGGCTGAACAGTCTCACAATGATAAGGGGTCAAAAGCAACACCCTACACCAGGGCAGGGAAAGACTGGAGGCAGGCACACAACTTCGGAGGCCTTGGCACAGGGCTCCAGCTGCTAATGCAGACACACCCCAGCTTCTCTGAGTCTGGAGAATCATGGCAAATCTCAGAGGTTTAGTAAAAACCCTCTGCCCCCACTGCAGACCAGGCTCCCCACGTGAGGAAGGAACTCCCACTCTGTCATGAGATGTCACCTCTTCCCCCACTCCAATCAGTCCCCAACATCTATTCTACCATGTTCTTTTTTTTCACCTAGGGGTTGAAGTGATCTTTTTGAAATATGTTAGGTTGTATTACCTCTCTGCTCAACCCTCAGTGTCCTCCTATAACTTCTACCATAAAATCATAAAACCCTAGCCCTGCAGTGACCTGTTAGGCCCACTTGGTCTGCCTCCTGGCCCCCTTGCTCACTCCAGTCACACCTGTCCCTCAACTCCAGGAAGTGCATTCTTACCTCGGGGTCTTAGCACAAACTGCTGTTCTCTGGCCGGCTGCAGAGTCCCTCCCCCACATCCCCCTGGCTGCCTCGGCATCATTCCAGAGTCCAGTCGAGGTCAACTCCTCAGATGAGCCCTCCCCGTCAACCCAACATTGCCTCTCTCATTTGCTCTGATATTCTTGCAGCATTGTAACATGGTCATCTGAGTGCCCTGCATGTCTTTGTGTGCTTGCTTACTGCCTATTTTCCACAGGAGAATGTTCAGGGACAGAGTTTCTAGTCTTGACTTCATCCCAATACCCAGTCACGTCTGGCACGCAGAGCAATTTGTGCTGTTGAGTAAATAAATGAAATGGTCTTCTGGTCGTTCTACACACGAACATAGCTATCACCACTAAGAATAGCAGAGCATGAAAAACCCTAAAAGCTGATTCAGTACTAAGTTAGTGAGGCTTGAGGTCAGTAGGTCTGGCCCCAGTTCAGGGTCTGTCCCACAGACAGACTGCACAGCCCCAGCACTGGCTGATCCCTCACAGGCGGCCATTGCTGTGGAGGGTTTGGCAAAGAATCTGTGCAAATTCAATTGAATTTGGCTCAACTCTCACTGCTCTGGACACCCAGCACACTGGGTTAGACATGGCCAGAGGCCAGCAAAGAGTAGGACCCAAAGACCTTAGAAGAGATCAGGGGAGATAAGCTGACTACTCCAAGGCAGAAATGGAGAAGTGACTCAGAAGTATAGGCATGGTAAGTTCAGAGGCGGGAAGTCAATTTGCCCATGCTATCCTTGTAGAAATAAATACCACAATGGAGTAAATGTTGAAATCCTAACCCCAGTGTGAGGGTGTTAGAAGCCAAAGCCAGAGACTTTGGGAGGTGACTAGGTCATGAGGGTGGAGTCCTCGGGAATGGGGTCAGAGCTCTAAAGGGCTCCTCGCTCTGTGACAGAAACAGCTGCCCAAAAAGGAGCAGGGCTGGGTTGTTGCAAAGACAGTGTTCCCCTCATCATTTCTCACCCATGGCAATCACAGCAATAGCAGAGAAGGGCAGAGAAGATGGGAAGGTGGGAGCATGGGAAGGCAGATCCCCTTGGAGGCCTTCCTCCTTGCCCCACAACTCTCTGCTCCATGAGACTGCCTCCCAGTTGCCTTCTAGACACCTTCTTCCCAAGTTCTCAGGTTGCTTTCCACACCCTGAGGGTCCTCATCCTGCACCCCAACCCCTCCCAAGTCTCCCGTCCTGCTGCTAGCCCCTGAAATCTTGTCCTCATTGCATTTTCCCTAGTCCAACCCCTCCAGCCCCCAGGAACTAATGGCACAAACTTGTCCCTGGAGGAGCCAAGGCAGCAAGGTGGTTCTGTGATTCCCAAGAGTAGCTCAGGACACATTTCCACTGACTGACTCACTAATTCAACTTTCACATGCCCCAGTTGTGTGTGGGTGTGCAAAATGGAATAGATGTGATCCTGTCTTCATGAAGCTCACATCCCAGTGCAGAAAACACAAACATCATGCCATGAGTAGGGGAGATGGCTGAAAGTGTGGGGTTTGAGATTCTGGGAAGACTGCCCTGGAAAAGGATAATCAAAGCTGAAGAAGAATAACCCTTACTTTTCATCTGTAGTTGTCCAGAGATGATAGTGTCAGGGCAAGTGGTTAGGGGCAGAAGGGATGGAATCACATGCATTGATCTGGAAATTACTCAGGAGGTTCCATGTATGGAACTTAGCAACTGAATTGACGAGGTTGTGGGTGCGAGGGAGGGAGAAGCCCAGGACCACTCTCGGGAACCACAATCACCTTGGTGAGTGTCTTGCCAAAATGGAGACACAAGCTCAGCATCTGCCAGGTGCAGGTCTGAGGTGCCTGTAGGACATCTGGGAAGTTAGATGCAGAAGACTCGTCCCCAGAAGAGAGATTTGGAGGTTATGGAGACCTTGGTGGTCAGTGAAATCCTGGGCTTTGGTCCTCATGGGAGAGTAGAGAGAGGTGAGATTGGGAACAAAGCCTGGGATAAGGTGCTTGGTTTCACCAATGAAACCAGGCTGAGCAGGCCAAGAAAGACCAGCAGAACAGGTAGGAGGAAAACCAGAGAGTGTGTAGTGGGGAAAGCCAGGAGGTCTGAGTTCCAGACAAAGTCATCATGGGCAGTCAGACTCTGTCAAGGGAAGTGAGGTCACAAGGAATGAAGATGCCCTGGATTTGGGGACACAGAGGTTATGGACGCCTCACACCATTTAGAGAAGAACAGTTGTCAGAGAGGCTGGATTGGGCAACAGCTCGAGAGACTCCTGGAAGAAGAGGCTTTTTCTTGGTTGGTTGCTTGTTTCCAGGAAAGCACTTGAGACAGCAGAGCTGTATGGAGGAAGAGGAGATCTGCAGGAGCAAAGGCCCTCCACAGTCACCTCAAAACTGGAGTGGCCTGAAAACTAAACTTTAGGCTTTTGTTTAAAATGATAAATTGCCAAGTGAAATTTTGGGATGCAAGTGATCTGTTTCTAAGCTGAGTGAGCCTTGTGTAGTCTCACAGCTCTCGGGTTAGATGTTGTCATGTCATATGGTGGGTATGGGACAATACATAATCAATTGGGGGATGCGTGGACCAACCTGAGGTCCAGTTAATTGCTTCTCCCTAGAACTTCAAGCATGGCCAACTCATTCACTCATCCACGCACACTCCAGACCTTATTCCAGGTCCAACAAGTACTAGAAACCTGGGCTGGATGGAATTTACACCACCTCAGCCCATAGCCTGGTGAACGTGTGCAAGATACAAGTGAGTCCTTCAGCAGCTGTCTTCTGGACACACCGGATATGCAAAGCAAGCAGCACCCCGTACCCCTTGCCAAGTAAGGTTGCCTGTGTGCTCAAACCCCAATAGTGCAAAGGAAGAGGCTGGTACCTCTTCTTCGACACCAACTCTCCATCATCCCACACATTTTCCCTGGGTGTCCCAGGAAATTTGTCCTGACAACCTGATTTTCAAGGAGTTGAGGGATGGCTTACAAAATACGTACTTTTGTATGTATGTACTTTTGTGACACTGTGCTGATAGGAAACTCCAGAAATGTTAGATTCAAAGGCAAGGGCCACTGATAACTTCTTGTATGTGATTTCTGAGCTGGCTTCTAAAGGCTGCTTAATTTCAGGGAGCTGAAGTCTTGATAAGACTTCTTAGAAAACATAGCATGTATTCTATATGTTACAGACCAATTACAAATGGCATTTAAACTAGAGGAACAAAATTCAGTGAGGCCAACCTACTAAAAAAGGCAGATTGCATACTGGTTAGAAAACAGCTAATGCTGTCCCTTCTTCCCATAAAACTGGGCCATGTGCAAGTGTGCTGGTCAACAGCAACAGTAATGGCTGATGTTTCTTCAGTGCTCAACACCTAAAGTTAAGTACTCCATTGCATTATCTCACTGATCTTTGCAACAATTTAGGAAGGAGGTGCTTACTAAATCCCACTTTACACTGCAGGAAACCAGAGCTCAGGGAAGTGGAAGTTAAGTTTCTCAAGGTCATGTAGCCTGTGACTGAGTCAACCCAGAACTGTAGCCTGGCCGCTGGACCTACGCACATGTGGACAGGAGCAAGGCAGGCCAAATGTTCAAGACAAAGCCAGAGCGGTGGGGTCAGCAATAATTCTAGGAACTGTGCAAAGACTTGGCCATGACAATCAAACCACAAATACTTTCCAGTGGACACATGTTTTCTCTGTTTGGCTCTTCAATAAACCCAGAGATGCTTTCTGGGGGAGGCGGGTGTGATTCATGGAACACTTCAGAAACGGAGCTCAAAGATCTGGTGCTAAACCCGAGCAATAGGGAAGACAGTGTCTCAATCAACCAATGGGCAGAAAAGCAGCACCCAAGGCAATGTGAGCTATGGCAGGCTGACCAGGGGCTGCATGGCAGGTCTCCCAGGCTGTGTGGATTTGACTCCTGGTGAACTTGCCTCTAACAATTGTTCTTCCTAAGTCCAGAGCTTAAAACCAGTGTTCAAGGCAACTAAGGATGCTGGGACGTGTTTTGTTTTGTTTTTTTAATCAGTTTAAGTGACTTAACTAATGAATTAGAATTACTTAATGATAACCTTTCAATCAGGGCACTGCTAAAAACAGTGTGGCATCCAGAAAACCTGAGAAGTTTGGAAACTTAGGATAAAGCTCTCGGAGTTTTCAAGGTGGTTGCCAGAGCAACCTTGGGTACCAGCTTCTGGAAGAGCTGCGACGTTCTATTTTAAAAACACCCAGTTGATCATCAGAGGCCAGAATGAAACAACCAAATAATGAGGTGCACACTGAAAATTCTTATCAAGATGAGCATTTTCCCAAACTGGAAATAATTCAATCCATGAAGAATATTTCAATCCTGGAAGCAAACCAATTTCAAAGTGACTCCCAGAGGTCTGATTGCCACCTGCATCTTGAACAAAATACTGAAATTAAAGCATCTCTTTCCACTTGAATTCCTCCCAACTCATGCCTATATTTAAAATTTCTGCTATCCTTCAAGACTCACCTGTTCAAAGAAGTCTCTCCTGCATGCATTTGTGCCTACATGCATACATTCATTCTACAGACACTGAGTAATTTCTTATTACTGTGTGTGAAATGTCCTGCCAGGTGACCCAAACGAGAGATGACTTAGTGAGATCTTAGTGATAACCCTGCATTTAGGATCCCCCAGAAGGAGGGATCGACCTGGAAGATACAGGAATACCCACAGCACTGTGTGACTGCAGGGTTCCCAGAGTCACCAGTTCCCCAAACTGCTACCTGTAAGAATTCCTCTGATGGACTGTTATTCAAATGCAGATTTCCAGGCACCACTTCAGTGTCCAGAGGGTGGGGTGCACCCCCCCTCTATTTATTAAAATAAAATCTGTATTTTAATTGCTGTGCCTGTGCAACTGGGTTTGGAAATATCTGCTAAAAGTGAGAGATGAAATGTTAAAAG